CTTAGCTCAGAGAGCCGAGAAGCGATTACTTCGATCTTAGCTCAGAGAGCCGAGATGTGACCTATTCCATCTTAGCTCAGAGAGCCGAGAAGCGACCAATTCCATCTTAGCTCAGAGAGCCGAGAAGTGACCAATTCCATCTTAGCTCAGAGAGCCGAGAAGCGATTACTTCGATCTTAGCTCAAAGAGCCGAGAAGCGATTACTTCGATCTTAGCTCAGAGACCCGAGATGTGACCTGTTCCATCTTAGCTCAGAGAGCCGAGAATCGCGTTCAAATATAACTTATATAATTCCTATAATCCTATGAACATATATAGTATTTCGCTTTAATTATTTCTTATCAATGATATTTTTATTGAGTGAAAATTAAATTTCTGAGAAACAACTTCGGCCTGTACCGAAAAATTTATAATTTCTAAAATTTCTAAAAAGTGTACGAGATGCAAAGAATGTACTGTATTATAATTACATAAATACAATGACAAATTAATGCTAACATCGTTCCATCATTTCTGTTGCAGAGAAGGCTTTGAGCACGCGAATGTAGTGTTCAATGATAACGGTACGTTATCGGCGGTACCCGTGCATCCACTGAAATATATTCCGGAGATGAGCAACGGTACGGAAGAGGACCTTGTAATAATGCCGAACATTGCGCTATTCGTAAGTAGTAAGATATTACTCTTGTAAATCATAAATGATACGGCGATGCTTTATCTTATCGAACGCATAATCGAGACACGATTAATGCGCACGTTCGTTCTGATTAACAAACCCGTTCGTGCAAAAATGGCTAGTCACTGACACAAAAAACGTGCCGCTTTTGTTAAAAGTAAAAAGAGAAATAAGAAATACGATACGATAAAATCTCGATTCATAATTACTTTCCATCTCCTTTTCTGTACATTGAATTAAATTAACCGGGCGTTAACTGGCAAATATATTAAGTAAGATAAACAGGCGAAATCTCCATTTTTACAAATAATAATTAATTTTATCAATTAACTTTGTACTAATTCAAGATCTTTTAAATGTTACGTATTTTATCTGGCAATTACAAAACACTTACAGACTTAAAAATTCATCTATACTAATTGTACACGTATGGCGATTTTAAACGATAATTGGTACACGTTAATTAAGGAACAAGAGTAAAGCTGCAAACCGAATAGCTGACTACCAATTAAGTATTTATGCTCTTACGTATAAATTTTCCGCGTACTTATATGGTTCAAAGAAAAATACACTTGTTGAGAATAACATCATTAATTGAGGAACATGCTTTATTCATTTGCGATACGTCTGACTTGTTATCTAGAATTACCGAAAATTTATCGAGAATTATTCAACTTCGCGTTTATAATCGTGACTGGCGATAATACGTAACAGAATTGTAAACTTTGACCAGGTAAATAATGTAAATTGCATTGATCGTTAATTCCGTAATGGGAGAAATTCAAACGTCTCTTACGTACGATTAACCAATGACGTTGGCGAGTGTAATAATAGTGTGACCGGGAGTAAATATGTGGTATCAAATGCAGCGACTGATAAAACTCACATATTTTTGTCGTGTTTATGCTTACATCTGCATACTAGTAATTTCAGATTATACTTTTCATTAATTCCGTTTCCTCACCTCATATCAGAGTATCTGGACGCACTTAGATATTGATTCTAAGGTGTGTTTCAGATATTCAAACAACTTGTATATCCAGACCTTTTATTAATATTAATGATAGAAATGTTTTATTAGATAGAGGTGTCTAACGTATGTCCGTGACACATATGTGTAAGGTATAACGTTTAATTATTAATTAATTTAATAAATTAGAGAACACGCATATATGTATATGTATGTATGTATGCACGTAAAGGCGTATGCAAATTTATAGAAATCCTTTCTCTATATTACCTACGATCTCAACGATGAATTATTCAGCCTTTGACATTTTTTGGTAATAAAAATATTAAATTTACTAAATATTCTAATCACGTGCAATGCAACATATTGCGATCGTAAGAAACCAGTTGACGAAACAAAAATACGTATGCGAAAATAAGACATATTTCGATTGCAACACGAAACAATTTAATCATCGACTCACTACATTGAACGTTCTAATCCTGACTGTGAGTTAGTACTGACCTACACTGACGCAACCAAAGCTCGTTGGAAACATGGACTTCTCCGACATTTCTACGGTATTTCATTTATTCGATATGGCACAATCTGGCACGTCGTAAATTTTGACAACAAACTGTTAATTACGATCGCTTTCGCAAAGCCTCTGTCGGGGCGTCCGTGCCCGGGAGACCCAAGAATCTTTATTATATGCAACAGTTTATGGACGACACAATTCATCCTTATATGATACACCGCGTCTTCTCAGATACCCATGTTTTTGCAAGTGGTTAATTAGTTAGAAAATCGTGATACATTTTTCCGACAAACGCGTTTCCGCTAAATATGCCATTGTGTCACCGGTAAAAACCTAATATAACCGTGGAATATTGAACAGTCGGGGTTTTTACTTATGAATATTTATGCGCGCTCGCAATTGATTGCTTATCTCGATTACAGTTCTCGAGATTACCTTGATAGAGTTCGGAAAAATCTCGTGCAACTATATTCTTTTCATGGCATACATCATGTCCGCATAATTAATGGAATTGTAACACTTAGACATAACAGATATTGCGTAAAGGATAAGAACCGACACTCCGATTTTACATAATATTATACCGCAATTGGCAATTAAAATATTCCGTATGACGTATTCTTCAACGCGATGCAAAATTCTTTAGAATGAATTTAGCTCGCCGCGTACCGAGCTAAATATTCATATTTACGAGAAACCTTCATCCGCGAGACTCGAGATGCACAAATGCATCTTTGAAAAACAGGTCCCATTCGGATCCCATCTGCGCGACCAAGGAACCGCGAGAAACCGGGAAGACACTCGGTGTTAAGAAAAAACGAATGGTTCTTTTTATCTTCGCTTCAGAGAAATTCGACTGTTATTAATAAATGTTTGTGTAAGACCCAGATCACACATGACGTCATTAATAAATGTTTGTTTCAGATACTGCTATTTGTTCAAATATTTCATTACATATCTTTATGAGATTTATCATATAAATCTTCCAAGATAATTGTTTTAATTTCAATGCTAATAATGCGAACAGTGGGTATATTTTTACTGTCAAGTATATTGTTTTAGACAGTTTCTTCAATAAAAGAAAAACCTGTCGAAATGGTGATCTTGACGGTAAGAATGCACTCATTGTTCGCATTATTAGCATTATCGAAATTGATCGCCACACAGAAGCATTCCACATTTCATTGTGTAAATGAATGATACGGCGAATCGTGACACCGTTTAATTACACGCAGACATTTAAAGATCATAAGACGTACGCTGCAGAGCGTCTCATTGTAAAATAATTTCGAATAAAAACTTAAAGTATACTTTCGAGAATCTTGTCAATCTTGTCTAAAGAGCCGCTCTCTACAAATTGGTTTGTGGATTACCACGTAAAGTACTTACTGATTCAGAGTTGTAAGTACAACGCTGAGACTTTCAGCGGTACTTTTATAACTGAATTAGTGACTATTTGCTGTTTTCAGTGACAATTTACTGAGTGACTTTTAGAGAGCAAATGATATATAAAAAGCAATCCAGCGAACACTTATACTTATGCTATAAAGTTAATTGAAACAATAGTCACGTCGTAAAATTCTGCTAATATGTACTTCTATTTGTATTGAATATGTAAATGAATTCGTAAAACACTCAAGATGTAACGCGCGCACATTAACGTAGTCATGAATCAAGTCGTGTTAAAAGATATTTAACGAGTAATGAAAAAAGAAGTGTGATCGAATTATGTCCACAAATCACATTTATATCCATCAGTTGACACTGTTACGAGAAATAGTTGCTATTATCGCACAATTATGTAATTTCGTGCAAAACAATGCGTATTTCTAATACCACGAGTCACATTTGCAATATTTTTAAAATGTATAAAAAATATATAAGTGTTATTGCTTTCATATCTTCCTCATAACCGGCCCTCATCACCGATCTTTCCTTAAAACCACTATATGGATGCATAATTAACTAATTAATTATATCGTATCTTTTAAGCGTGAAATTAATTAATAGATAAATTAACCAAATTGATGAATTTTAAATACAATTAGAGAATAATTTATTTAAAATTTCGTTGTAATCATTCGCGCAAGCATGAATCACGCGAGACCATTAAATCATTTTCAAGTTGAGAGCCCCTTAAGATGCCACAAACCCGACAATTTGCTCCTCGGTTAAGAGATAGATAATTAAATCATAATACATTTTAGAAAAATCCGAGTACAAAATAACTTGGTATATTATAGTGTCCTTAGCGCCTTACGTGCTACATAAATCTACCTGTTACGCCGACACGGTGATTACTTTGAAATTATTGCGCCTGTACAAAGAAATAGAATCTCAACATTTGATTAAATTCACTGTTTAATGTGCAAGAGGTGCAGTGAACTGTGATTCGCGAAGAATCCGCTTAAGCAATGCATTCCTCGTGGGTACGCAAATTGTAAAGCCGTCAGTTAAGAGTAATAGATACGCCCGTAAACATTCTTATCTGTTTAAAAGGTTGCACGAGAGAAAGCGTTTCGTTTATATTCAGCTTATATTTCAGCTTTTCTATTACACGCAGTAGTCATTATTTATTGACATTAATTACTATCGAGTTATATGGAGTCTCTTGAAAATGTATTGGCATTAAAATTAAGACAAATGCATAGAAATGATTCCTCAATTATTGTTTCGCTATGTCCATTAAAATTTATATTTATCAATATACAAATAATTGATAAATGAGAAAATTGTTGCTTCGAGAAAGTTTTCTAAAACATCTGTATTCCTAAGTTATTCTTTGTATTTCTTTGTCTTAGTGGACTTATATCTTGTAGTAAGTTTGCAAATTAAATTTTTAACGAAAGTACTATATAATAAATAATAATGTGTGTTTACTGTACTGCATTGAAATATATATTGTTGAAAACTTTTATAAAGACACATAAGTCAGCATTATCTTTAATCTTTATTTAAACACTTGCTTGTAGTTTTTCTTGGTAAAATTTATTTCGCGCATACATAAATATCCTGGCAGAGAGGGGAGGGGAGAGACAGAGAGAGAGAGAGAGAGAGAGAGGAAGGGGAACTAAATCACATGTGTGTCATTATTTATTACTATCTTAGTCGCGTTATCAGTAATGTGAATGACCCTGACAATCGCGTGGACGAAGTATGTCTGACGCCTGCAAATGCATTCATTTCTTTCTCTGTTGAGAGGTATTGATATGTCACTCGCTTTGATAAAGAGCGACAAATATGTTAATAAATGACACACAATAAATGTCAACAGGCAACATATCGCTGATCTGATAATTAACAATAATGCGATTTGTCAAATAAGTTGAACTTTAGTAATTTGTGCCAGCAGACGCGCATCTGTAGTTCTGTACGCGCTTAATTTAATCTTCAGCTTTTTTTCGTAACTTAAATTTATAATATAGAACTTTATATTAGTTATTCTACAGAGTAACCCGTGCTTTGCAATATACCGGTTAATTGTGCATTAACCGATGATATTACTTCTAGTTACCGCACGAAGATCACTTTTCACTTTAACGAGATAATGAGAACAAGAACCTAATAATAAGTGAAGTCAACTTGAACCTCTTATGTCAATGCATAATACGCGAACAGTGTAATTATGCAATTATATCTACGGAAAGTGTAATGCAATTTTATAATCTCAATGTCAGCCTATTATAATATGGAATCAATTATTTTAAGCAGTTATTCAATTAAGCAAATAACAGCGTATTTTACCAGTCTGTTGTACGTTCGATTATACGTTTTTTTTCTCATTTTTTAAATCTATTGTTACAGAGTATCACGAATGTGATGAAAGATGCCGCATATATATCCAGGTGGGGCCTCAATACGCTAATCCGTCGTACAAAAACTCAACCCCTGGTTCAAATGACCGCACGTGAATTCATGTTTGGCTACCACTCGGCTCTCGTTACCCTTGGCAATCAAGTAATGCCCAACTGGATCAAGTTCAATAAATTGGGACTAATCGACAGAGTAAGTAATAAGCCACGACTTCTAAAACACACGAGATGTAATAACAATCGCATAGTAAGCGATTTTATTTTTGTAATAATACATTTTTTCTAAGCTAACGCACCTCTTTCTTAAGATAGCCGTAGGATAATTTGCACAATCATCGAATAAAAACTATCTTCCAAATTTTATACATTTCTTTAACGCGGGCATTTTTTTTTTTAATATTCCGATAGTGTAAATTCTATTTGAAATGTAAGCCTCGCGATAATATAAATCTTGCGTTTTGCTACGCTTCACAGATGTACGACTTCGACGGTGATTTCGAGACGATTTACACGGGAGAGACCGATATTCGACTGACAGGCTTGATCGATAAATATAATGGGGACGTGAACCTGCCGCAATGGCCTGGTAAATGCGCGAATGTGCAAGGTGCGAGTGACGGCGTTAAGTTTCCGAGCTTCATCGAGCCTAACGACACGATCCTCTTCTTTCGCAAGAGTCTCTGCCGAAGCGAACGACTGGTAATTTTGATCATTACAATCATCACGACGAAATGGTTAAACAGTTCGAGCACTTTTGCCGAGTCATGCGATTCGTGTGTAATGCTATTTCTTCCATTATTAACTTTCTTCCCTTATACAGAATGCTCGTAAATTATTCTTATGCAATTGACGGATCTATCTGTCGAGCAACTCGGCAGTCATTATTCGGACAAGACTTCTCTTTTAGTATCTTTTCTTTCTTTTACACCTTAACTCACAACATTGAAATGTCAACTTCACAGTTGGGCTTTGAATTAAAAATAATAATGGGGATAAAATCTTTTGTCATGCATTGGCCAGTGTAGGTCGTTTCTGAAAAACTACATTTCGAAAAATATAAAAATTGAAAAATTCTCTAAGAATATCCCTTTACAACAATATCTCTTCCAAAGGTACGAATCGGAGAAAAGGTGGTGCAGGACCTGGACACGTACAAATATACGTTTATGGAGAATGAATTGGATAACGGTGCAGTGAATCCCGAAAATAAATGCTACTGCCGTAAAGGAGAGTGTCTGAAGCCCGGCTTGATCGACGTGACCGATTGTTACTACGGTAAGATATCAGCATGCTAATCGAATATCAATAAATTATTCGATACAAGTCCAAGATGATAGTATTAATCATGGAAACGTTTATATATAGTCCATACCCCTACAGCACGCATGTCTAAAAGATACCTTTAAGACGTCTTTTAGACATACATATCTAAAAGACGCCTCAAAGATCCAAATTAAAGTTGAACTCTTCGAAGAAGAAACGATTACACGTCAAATGCGTATTTAATTGTTTACAAGTACATATCGTTATCAACATTCAATATACATATCTACGGCTCTTGTATAACTTGCCAAGTGCCTTGATCATCTTGCCAAGTGTCTTTCATAAGATATGGACTCTCGTAAGAAAATAAAATTTCGATATGCGTCGCGAAATCAATCCTCGCGTCGCATGCTATTTAAAGTTGTGGCTATCCGACTTGAAGTATTGTTGCGAGATTCCGATTGCTTTGGTCATGTTGCAATAAAATTCAGTATTCCAATTCAGGTAAATAAAGGATAAAGAGGAAATAAAGTAGTTGTGTTTAAATAATCAGGTGATTAGAAATAATTGATGTCTAAAATCATTTGCTTCGGTAAGCGGATTCAGAAGGTTCGTTCTTGAAATTAATGCGATGCAATGATTTCCACTTTATATACTGGCGCCGATAAAATGCAATAACCAATCAAGTCCCGCGGCGTTTATGATAATAAAATTATGTCATGTCGGTTATACACGTCACAAGAGAATTTTCATAAGTAATGCGTCGATGAGCGACGCAAAATCTTAGGAGACTCGATAACGTCGATGTTTCGCACCTTACATCCGTAATAAGATCATTTTATTCGCGATAGATCTTCAAATGAAATCCGTCAAATGGAACAAGATCGCGTTGACGCATCGTAAGATTTACTTGACTTTTGTACAGGATTTCCAATCGCCCTGTCGTATCCGCACTTTTACAAGAGCGATCCGTCGCTACTGGAAGCCGTCGAGGGATTGGAGCCCAAGAAGGAGCTGCACGAATCCTACTTCTACATTCAGCCGAAATCCGGGGTACCCGTGGATCTAGCATCCCGATTCCAGATTAACATGGCTCTACAGAATATCGGACACATGGCTAATGTGGAAAGGTTCTCCGAGTTAACGCTTCCGATGCTGTGGTTCGAAATCGTAAATGCTACAAATATATCGATGCAATCAAGAGAGAATTTAACTAGTAATGTTCCTATAAAGTTGGCCTCTAAAGGTCCAGTCAAAGAAGTGATTCTTCGTCACTTCATAATTACGTAAATTGATTCGCAAATATCAGCAACATATTCTTCTTCATTTCGCTCGATCGCTAAATTGCATCGTGAAGTAATAAAAAAATATTCTTTGCTTCTCAGGGAATGTACAAGTTGCCGAAAAGCATGCACATGCGGTTTTTGTTTTACTTGAACGTCATGCCAATTGTAGAGGAAGTAATAATGTGTCTGCTGTTCCTTTCCGGAGCAATGTTACTCGTCTGGAGCGTCATGAGAATATTGTCTCACCAAACGAAGAAATCGCCAGAGGAATGGCTAAATATGAGAAGAAAGCGACGAAAGTCACAGATTGAGAAGCTAAACGATTCAAGATTCAAAGAAATGGATGCACAGAACACGCTTTTGACTTCCGACGATCCGAGTTTGACGTTAGTAGTCTAATTACAGTGATCGAGCTAATGGAAACGGATAGGATATTATTCTTCCGGCCATTATTCTTATTGCTACAAACGAAACAGTGCAAATACAGTAAGGTCAACTATTTTGCAAAATTTATATATTGTCGTGCTCTGTATATTATTGGATATCCGAAGAGATAATATGACGTTATGTATGTAGAGTATCAGGAATCATATATCATTCGATTTAGTCGATTTCAATTTAATCAATTTCGGAATACTCATATTTTTACATCTGATGTGATAATTAATGGAAGAGACAGCCGAAATTTTTCGATACTTCGTATTTTCCATAATCACCGTTAACAATTTTTATTACAAAATTGTTTCTTGACTTATAGTCAACTCAACTTACTATAGAGATATGCAGTTTTAATAGCAACGTTATTTGTAACATTAGCCAGCAACGGTATTCATCTAGAATTACATTCTAGAGTTAAACATTCTAGAAAATAAAGCTATTTTCTTCTTCATAACGTAGCACGTTACAAGATTTGTTATATGCCAAATTATATAAACCGCATCATTGTAATGTTTTACTTATTGCGGACATTTTTAGACAATTTAATTCTTTTCTTTAAAAAACAAAGTTTTTAAGTGTAAAATATTTCTTACAAAAATTTTTTTAAAAGATTGTGCTCTTGTACTAAACTTGTCTTTCTAATGAGGAAATAATTAATAGATTCACGTATTGACGTAAAATTCTTAAAGAAACAACATTGGAATTATGCGCCAATTAACCCTTTGCACTCCGAATTATATTTCATCTATTGGTTTGGACTTGAAAAAATGCCGAGACTCGACAAAGGAGCTCCTGAGATAAAAACTGATGTCGAGTCACACTCGACATAGGAGTGCAAAGGATTAAAAGACATTATTCACGGGCTACAAATGCAATGGAAAATTGTAGAGAAAAAAACAATTAAAGAGAAAAAACAAAAAGAAAGATACAACGTTGTTATTAAAGCTATTTTATCGCTATAGCCCAGTGAGAAATGAAGGACGGAAAGGTGTCTACTAGACGACTAATGGATATTATAGCCGTCTAATAGACATCTTTTCGAACTGCATTTCTTACTGGATATATGCGCTGAATCATATTATTCCAATCTCATTAGGATCATTTTAATCAGAAAATTGGAATGTCGTATTTATTCTGTTGTATTCTATTCTTTTTCGTAGAAATTATCTCAATTAAGTTTTCTAAATAAAATGAACAAGATAATTGAAGAATTAGTTTGGAAAGAAGCTGGAATCTGCGTAAACTTCTAAAGAAATTTTGGTAATGCTTTGATAATGAATACGTCATGAAGATATCTTATATCATTCACGTTAAACGTACTAATAGTGTTTCATTATTGTTAAGTAAACCTATGTCAAATAATATGACATGCTAATAATCATGTCTGTGATTACGTTTTGCTCTCTTATTTTGGAGTAGTATTGTTTTAAATATAATATAGCATATTGTAAAATTATATAATATAGACATAATGTAGTGGAATATCCCAAGAAGAAATAAAAAGTCAAGATGACGTCAATTTGATGTCATATTGACCACAATATGACGTAAATTTGGTCAATATGACATCAAATTGACATCATCTTGACTTTTATTTCTCTTTGGGATGTCCTAGAGCAGCGTATGCAAATATAAGAATATTCGTCGCCAAGTTAAAATCGGAACAGTTAACATTAAATCGACGGTCGCTTAATTTTTATATAATAGTATATATTTAGAAATAGAGATAATAAATTTTGTATGTTAAACGTTGATAAAACGAAGAAACTCGCGTGAAAAAGTCAGCGTACATTTAACGGGCTTAATTCCTGATATAGAAATAAGATCGCCCATCAATCATTTTTTAAACGCGTATATGTATATTTTATTTGAAAATCTTAAAGAAAATATCTATAAATTAGTCAATTTAACATTACTACTTGGAATCGACCTCTCATCATTAATTTCTTTATTTAATATTTTCCTTTCCTTACTTTAAACAGAAAGTCATTTGCTGGGAGCTTGCCATTTATTAAATAGTTGCTAGAAAACCAAAATTCCAGATAGATATTCCAAGTAGTATCAAGAGAATCACCTTATACATCCAGAGATCTCAGATCCCATGTGGAGCCCATGTGCCACATCATGGATTACTTTCCTCTTCACATGGATTCACAATTGTTATATACACGCAAAGCCGTGGCAAGAATAAGTAGAGAAGGCAAATTATTTTATTAAATCGACTAGTTTTAACCGGACGACATGTTATGTAAAGCTTTTCATTTATCGCCTAAAATCAGAATAGTCTTTATTTATTTCTACAGTAACATGACTCAGTAACCCTATACGTAGTAATACATTTGTAATCTGTAATGCAGTTTGTTATACCTCATTGTAAATATGTAAATAATTAGTGAATTATCAAATATGTAATGTACACTAATTGTAAGATGTTATGTCTATCAAAAGTATAGCTCAGTATATAGCTCGTAAACGATAGCATCTTGCGATAAATATTTCTCATTGAAATATCTTGCCTTATTTATTACAAATATTGAAGATATAAGTTTAATATTAAGTCTAATTAAGTACATATTTACGCTTACACGTTGAAGAAAAATATTTAGTAATAAGGATAGGTTTCGTAATGTAATGTGCGGGTATAGAATTTAAATATGTAAATTTTAGAAGTCTTTTTTATATATTTGTAATGTCGATATTGACGATATTGTAACTTTCTAAAAAGAAAATCTACGAAATGTGTGATAATAACTGAGCTAATAAAATACATATATATATTGATATTATACAAAATTTGTTGCCGTTCCGATCTTTTGCATTTTATAAAAATAATTAAAATTCCAGCAATGGTTCAACGACATATGATTCAACCAAAAAATTTTACCTAAAAAAATTTTTTTTAAGAAAGCATTTTTGTATAAATCTATGTGAGCAGATAATGGGTTAGCCATATATATTAAAAATATATTTAATATAATATGAGTTTGTAAGATACAAATGAGAAATTTATTATATAATTAAATGCATTGATTATAAACAGGATTATTTCCCTGTCGCTTGTTCAACAGAAGGTAAAAGCATGTGAAATAAACACTCTTTTAAGATTGACTCATAAAGCTTATAACAAAGTCGTGTATTCCTTCTTTATCTGAAATCAGACAATTCATTTATCAATTGCAATAAAAGTTCAAAAATTCAAAACATTCTACAAAATTATATTATGAATTTTTAAACTCTCATACCAAATATTTTCTTTTTCAGCATATTGTAATGCATTTCTCTGCAAGTTTTTGAAAACGTCGCCCTATCCGGAAGACGTTCTGACGGGTAGTATTTCATTAAATATGACTTTAAAATTTCTGCCGTTTTAAATTGTGTAGCTCTATCTGCAGGTACTTTTGGTTTGTTACTAATGCTACTCTTGTGACGTTTCGAATGAGACGTGTGTGCAACTTCGTCTCTTTTCTTTAATTCTACATTAGCTTTTGTCTCGAGGTGCTTTTCTTTGTTGTCTTTTATCGTTCTCGATAGATCATTATTTCTAGTATTAATATTGATGATTGTATCTGTGCTTCTTCTAATCGTTTTCGAATCAAGTTTGTCACCTAAAATCTTTTTATCGGATACATTAACATTAGTTTTAGTGATATATTCGGTATGTACAATTCTTTGTTTCTTAACAGATTTTATATCATCCTCGTGACATTCAATAGATTCGTAGCCTCGCTTATATCTACTTTCATCTTTACTTTTATTTTCAATTTTAATAGAATCAAGAATATTGTCCACTGACAATTCCATTTCAGAAGATACATCTCTCCTTTCGTCCACAGTCTTCTTCGATGATGACTGCGTTGACGCTAATATCTGCTCATAAACTGATTTAACTGCTCTCTTTACATTCTTATCTTCTTTGCTTCTGCGAGCTTTCGATTTGGAGGAACTTGATTTAGTCACATTGCCCTCGTGAATTTCTCGCGCACAAACAAAACCACTTGATATTTTTGATATTCGTGATTTATCGTTTCGGTACGTGCTTTTTTGTTCGCTATTATTAACAGATAATTCTTTAGAGCGAGCCTTTTTGTCTTTATCTGACGTAGATACTTGTAATTTTTCTTCATTTAAAATCTCTGATGCAGTCTTAAAAACGGAAGGGAAAGTCTGCTTACGAATACTCGACACAACACAACCGGTAAATTCTGTTGTAACTGCATTTGTTATTTGTTCATTACTGTATGCATCGATTATATTAGAATCATTGGAGTCGGTAAATTCGGTATTATGTAACTCAGTCTCATTGCCGTCACGTATTGCTTCGTGCACAATGTTACTATTAGTGCATTTTCGTATCGACGAAATCTGTACGAATAAAGCAAATAAAACAAAGAGTATTCACGTATAAAATAATAATGATGAAATATATTGTCCCTTTCGTACGGCACAGTCCTACATACATCAACATTTTATACTGAAATAGTTCAGATATTTATTCAAATCGTTTAATTTCTTCTGGTATGACTTTATAAAAGTCAAGTTCTAGTACGACTTTCTATCTTAAATTCCTCTCATACGACTTCATAAAAGATTAGGCACATATAGATGTAGAAAATATTACTTACCAATTTAGACATGTCAAATTTGTATTTATTTGGTACTTTGGAGCTGGAAAATATTTTGTATTCTAGCCTATTGGCTACATCGTGCATACTTTTCTCCTGCCGCTGTTTGTCAATTTCCGCGTGTAAGGTTTGACCATTTTCAAGTAACGCCGTTTTTAAATCATTATATAAGTGTTCTCGTATCTTGAAATAATGAGGAAATAATGAGAAATTGTGTAAAAATACTGATAATGTTTCACACAAAAAGATGTCTTACTTGAACAGTTAGACCCTTAACTTTTTTATCCGTACTATTAGCTGCACGAACATGCGCTACTTTCGCGTCCTTCATGTTTTGTCGCCTCACCTAAAAGAATCGAATGAAAAGATAGAGGCAATGATGTAAAAACAAGTTTGCTCGCAAACTCACTTTGTCCTCCGTAGATGTGCCACGCCGGAGCGCGAACTGCTCCATAATAAGTTCTCTTCTTTCTCGCTTTTCATCCGCCACAATTTTCTCCCTTGATTCTTGTGACTCATTAAACATATCCCTGTTATTATTATAGAATTGAACACTCGTTAGCACCATTGCATAATGCAAAAATATGTGTGTCGCGGACATGTAAATTATTCACGTACATTTCATCATTACATCCCATTTGCATCACACTGCCCATATTACTCCGGGATTTTCTAGATCTAGTCTGACACATTTCAAATTGAGCAATTCTCGCTTGTACTTCGCTCTTATTTTTACAAACGTCGCATCTGTTTCTGCAAGGCGGTGGAGTGTCCCCAAAATATTTTGAAATTACCGCATGTCTACACCTGTATGACAGATACACAATTTGTGCAATACACAAATATAACTATTATCAGTGTATACAGGGTGTCCCAATTTAATGTCCCAACCCAGATAACTTTTTTATTATTGATCTCAAAAAGTATTAGTATTAGAAGAAATGAAGCTCGTACTTTGTCTCTAAACAATACGCGATGCTCTTCTCAAAATTCTGCCATTTTATTTTTACAAGTTCCGTGTTCTTCTGGGAGATTTCCTCTTTAATGAGGAACGAAATGGGCCCATATTCCTCGTTGCTAAAATAAATACGGCAGAACGCCGGATCGCCGTCCCTACCGGCCCTACCTGATTCTTGATAATATGCCGCAATATTCTGTGGTACTGTCCAATGAACCACGAATCTGAATAGGAATAATTGTACAGTAAGCATATTTACTTTCCTTAGCATGCGACACTACTTCCCGAAAATGTCGACGCTACCTAACAGATCCTTTGTCAACACCCATTCCGAAACTACACGTCGCCGCGATGACAGAGACCTCGCCTACCGTCCACCTGTTTTGCACTTCATTACGTTCCTGAGCTTTTAAGCCTAGTCAGATGTTAAAATAATATAGAATCAACCCTTTGCAAAATTCGTACTAAAGCAGTGCCATATAAATCACATACTTCCATGATATGCAAGCGTAGGAATACCCGCAAGAGACAATTTATGCGCAACAACTTCCGTTGTTTCTTTCTTTCTACAATAAATGATACCACAATTTCTTTGGTGCTAAAAATATCACGAAAGAACCGTAACATTAATCATGTGCAATTCATAGAATATCAGAGTGAAGAATTCAACTCACCGTAGGAATAGACTTGTCTGGGGGGCCGAGCGCGTTCAGAATAAAGTCTTTCAGATGTACAAACGGCTTGTCTAACACCTCTTGGAACCACACGTCGTAATATAAATTTGGACGAAATACCGGCTGGGAAAATATCGCTGCGTCTTTCATGTGCAGGCTTTCGAGAATGTCGTCCTTCACCTGAAACAACATTCAACGTGTTAGAATAACGCGGGGGCCATCAACATTGCGCGTAAATATTAACACTTTCTCCAATGTCTCACCTGTTGTGCGGCGGTCGCTGTTAATGCAATCATAGGTAACTTCGGGCACAATTTTTTAAACGTTCCCAACTGTCTGTAAGTTGGTCTAAAATCGTGACCCCACTCGCTTAAACAATGGGCTTCGTCGATAACGAAATAAGAGAGCGTTTTCTTCTTCTGCATTTGTGTTATGGTTTCCTGTAAACACAATTATTCGAGGGGAAAATATCCAAGCGTCCAAATCAAAGTCTTGGCCACGTCTTTTCAAAACGATTTATGATCGTTTCCCAATGAACATGCAGAGATGCAAGGCCGCGAAAGTAAGTACAGCTGTTCCTCTCGACGAGAGATTCAAACAAGTGAGTACCTGAAAATGATGCTGCGCTCCCATTTCAGGAGTGACATACAACAATCTTATCTTCGGCGCATCCGACAGTATGTCCCCCATAATGGCGTTTCTCTCCTTGCTGGAAGTGGTGGAGTTCAAGGAGCAGGCGTTCACTTTCTTGCTCACCAGAAAGTCTATCTGGTTCTGCAAAAATCAGATCGGTAAGTAACAAAGCGGCGTTAAGAGCGTCAAGATTTCACTCTCTTCACTCCCAGGGGTTTTTTTTTCTCGCGCGAAATATACGCCGAGAAGACACGGAACCGATGGCTGCGTTTTGCCGAACCTCCGCTCAGCTAAGCGCACGTAAGCGCCGAGCGCTCGCTTAGGCCTTGTGTCCACGATTCAAGAACTGTGTTAAAGCTCTTTGCAGAAAAGCTGCAAGTTGATTGGCTACACATTTCTTGGAACCAGAACTTGAACACAGTTCTTGGATCGTGGACACAAGGCTTTACAAATGTTTGGCTGGATAGTAAGCGCCGGGGCTGAGCTACAAGCGGCACTGCAACCGAAACCGCTACCGAACGAGCAACCGCTCAGCCAGCGGAGGTTCGGCAAAGCACGACGCCAACGACGCGCGGCAAGTACCTTCATCAGAGCCAAGAGCGGCGAGAAGACAATCGCGACCTTGTGCTCCTTCATTATCGCCGGCAATTGAAAGCAGAGAGACTTCCCGGAGCCCGTGGGCATGCACACGAACACGTCCTGCTTTCCTAGAATCGTCAATTAATTATTGTCACTTTCCGATTGTAAAAGAAGGGGGGAAGAAGAAGGAAGCGTGTGCGAAAGGAAAAAGCCGCTATCGCGGCTGCTAGGACGATCGGGAAGAATGAACGTTGAAATACCTTTGTAAACGGCGGTGGTCGCCTGCTTCTGAATGTCATTTTTAAAATCCTCGTAGCCGAACTTGGACTGCAGGACGCTCCGCAGCATCTCGCTCGCGCTCGTCGCCGGCGACCCGGCGACGTTTCTTCGGAGACGGGCGGGCGGGTGTCCGCGGTGTCGCGCACCGGCTGTTTTCGCGTCTCCTCCACAGCGATTCACCGAGCACCGAGTCCGCCGATTCGCCGAGAACACGCGCCACACGACACGCGTACCGAACGCCACTCGAGGTTGATGTAGGTTAGCTTAGGTTAGGTTCTCACGAAACTGGAGAATCTCCAGTGGAGCTCCGCTACGATTGGTTCAGTCCCAGCCCAATCTCCGCCTCGATCCGCAATCCGTCGTCTGATACAGGCTTTACGTCCCGAACTCCCGACGCAGAAGCGGCAGACTGGCAGTTCGCGCGGACTCACGCGGACTGCGACAGGAGCGAGGAGCCGAGAAAGATGGCGGCGCTTATAAAGGCCGTGCAGGCCGGCACGAGCATGAACGGCATAACGAAGCTCTTGACGAATCTGTCGCTGGCTCCGGGCGTAATCGCGCCCGCGAAGCGCGCCTTTCTCCGCAGGTTCGTATCGCGCGGGCCGCGTCACTCGGCTCGGTCCACCGGTGTTTACGTACCCGGCCCGCGACGCAATTTCTTATCCCCCGTTTGAGAGAACACTGGACATGTTTTCACCGTGTAATGCAATTCATTTGACCCCCGTGGCGTACGGATTGTCCGTCGCGATCCATCGAGCGATCCCTCGTCGTCCTACACTTAGTAAATTGCAGCACACCGACCTTGCACTGCGCCTTCGTGCACCTCACGTCGGAGCGCCGCGACCTGATGGAGTTCTTCGACGATCCGAAGAACTGGGGGAAGAGCGAGGTGCGAGTGGGCCGCTCCTGGAAGAAGGACGAATTGAGATTGAAGAGCAACTCGGATCTCCACAAGTTATGGTGAGGCCTTCGCTGCCCTGCGTTCGCCGACTCCCTTCGGACGTTACTCGGGAATTATATCTGTGCAAATCTCTTCAGGTTCGTGCTGCTCAAGGAGCGTAACATGCTCATGACCATGGAAGAGACTTGCAAGGACGCGCACGAGATCTTCCCGAATCCCGAGCGTTTGGACAAGATTCAGGATAGCATGAATAACTTGGAGTCGATCGTGCGCGAGAGAAACAGGGCGTATCACCTGCTCGAGACTGGCGAGACGGGAGAGCGTCCTGGAAAACTGGTCTACAGTATCTTAGGTAACGACAATAATCTGTACAGTTTGTATACGACAACTTGGTAAAAATATCCAAGAGTTCAAAGAGATTATTCCTGGGGAAAGTTCTAAGGAGAGGTATGGAAATGTAATTACTTATCTGTTGTTTCCTCTTACCTTTTTTTCAGGTTTAAGGTTTTATCATAGAATGCGCCAGTACGCCATTCCAAAGTTCGCGAACACGCGATGGCACAAGTTGCACATGTTTGGCTTTGGCGGATACGCAACTCGAAAGTTTTTACGCTTGTACAGGGAGCAGCTTTGGAATAAGAAACGCAAAGCGAGAACGTTCGTAGCAACTGCCTTTACTGTTCGCTCAACGCATACGGATTCGATGTGTCTCTTAATCTAATTTTCTCTTGTTTGTTTTGTCTCTTTTTCAGACGTGACAGGAATCGTGTCGCAACGTTAATGAGAAGATTCCCGAATATGGATCTCGAAGCTGTGAAGGAACAATTTCCGGATGTTGATATAGAAATGGTAAAAACGTCCAAGAAAGCAAGAGGTCATCACGTACCTGTGTAATTCGCGATCCCTGTTAATAGAGTAGCAAATTATCGAACATCTCCGTTACATTTATGAATGTAAGATACCCGATCGTTAATACAGTACATCAGTTTATACGTGTAGTAATTTTGATCGCGTCTTCAGATTTGCATTTCAAATTATTTCATTAATTGTGCTGCTTTAACGTGCAAGCAGATTGTATTATAGACCATGTATAGATATAAAGGGACAATTTCCTTTGCAAAACTATTAAAGAATTATATAATTAGAAGAAAAGTATCGTATTACTAAGAAATTCCAAATTCCTTTTAAATAGTGCATGAACTATATAGGGTATAGAGCTGAAAATATGGTACAAAATAAAAAGATTTTAAATATCCGCTGTTACTTTCGAAATCTATATAAATTATAAATTCGAGCACTAGAGTACTTGATTCTCATTTTCTCTCCTCTTTTCAAAATGTGACATTTCCACGTGATGTGAGAAAGCGAAAATAAAAATTGTTCATTCAAACAAATTCTCTCTGTATACTTTTATTAATTTATCATAACTTGCAGGTTGTGTATGGTGATACAGAATTTGTATGTGTGTGTATGTGTGAAAGGCATACGGATGTAACATTTAAAACATGCTGGCTGTAACTTGTAGAAAATTGAACTCCGCATACTCTTCACACAGCCCTAACATATAAAACAGATTTTTGTTTCCGCGCGGTACTTGTCCGTTTAATTTTTACATAAATCTCACACAGGAATCTCATGAACTTAACAGCTGACATTTATTACTTAATGCCATATCACAATCACGTACTGACTACTGAGCTACATGAAGTAATGCAAAAGTTAAATATTTATTCACAAGAATAGTCAAAGTGCATCCGTTCATGTAGCTTTGGTAACACAAGATTTGACAACTTAAAAAAGATCATAACAGATATCTTATTCCCAACGATGTCGATATATGTATACGTGTTAATATTATTATATCACAAATAAAATTCATTTTCATGTACAGCTTTTCTTATATATTGCACTTTTATATTTATATTTATATATGTATATATAGTATAAGCATTTTTTAAATAATTATCGACACGTAAATTATTTATAATCATTTTGGTATCATCTTTGTGTATCAACTTTAATTCGCTCTCATAAATCATCTCATAAAACGAAAATTATTTAAAAACTTTAATACAATGCATGATGCAACATAAGTTGATACCTATACAATGAATTAACTTAATATTGCACTATATTAAACTAAATTACGTGATGCATATAATACAATTATTATGGTCATACCTCACTTCGTTAAAAGAATCAAGGAGTAAAATTTAGCAACTTATGTCCTGTGATATGTCCCATACCACAAGGTGATACATAGAAAGTTCCGATGCTAAAAGTAAAATTGATTTACAATTATAAATAGCAATAGAGGAATGTGTTAAATTATATACCTATTTCAAAAGCGATTTATAAAGTTCTATTATTCCTTGTCAAAGCTGTTTTAAATGTGATTCTGAATTTTATAATATTATCTCAGACGATAAATATCTACTTTAATATCAATCGTGCGTATTCAAATGCATACTGGTTCGTCTCTTCAATACATGTGAATATATAGACATTCATATAGTAATCAATACCAATGTCTCACAATTATTATATTACATTCTCTGCGTTATTATAAATTAATAGTAGCTTATCATGGTGATTTACGCTACAAGAAGGTAATGCACCGTTTTGCGATTTTCCTAAATAGTTATCTATACGTTTGAGGCAACTTATATCTTATATGTAAGATAATGTTCAATCTCCCATCAACATCGCAATATAGCGAGAATATATCGCACATATATTTATATCTTGAAATTAGAAATTTATCATATTATGCCATAAATCAGCTCAAACAAGGGCACCTATAATTCTACTTGTAAGCCACAAAATAACACCGATGCTTCTAGTTCCAAGATAGATATATGGCATTTAATTTGCAACAGAAGCAAGAAATAAGATTCGTATTATGTTGTATAAGCCGTTTATCTTTGGCATACGATAGATCAGTGTTCGAGATATAGCTACCTGGCTATTCGTATGCGTTACCAAAAGTTCTGCTTTACGAGTCCCTTTTATGGCAATATGATAAAATAATTTCTCAAATGACGGTGTACATACGTATTGTCTACTGGTACATCTTCCACTTATTCTAAAGCCGGTGGCAGCAAGCACCGCCAGGCGTGTTCCAGGTCCCTGCTGGCATCCGAGCAACGCCGCTGTAATTTATCCTCCGGTGGAAGTGTTGTCATAGGAAACTCACCCTGTAAAAATCGAGAGACCACGTTAGCGCTCGCGCGTAATGTTACGATGCGTCGCCTGCGAGCAAGTATATCCTACCAAGTTTGCGTCTGTCCACAATGTCTCCAAGACCTCTTTAAAAGCGCAAAGCTCGGTATAATTCGTGAAGTAAATGACCCAATCGCCGCTACTTTCGAGCACCTCCCGACATGCAAATTCCTGCAAATTATATCATACATTTCATTGGCAAGCTCCATTTAGTAAAGAATGTGAAATAAACAATCTGTGCATTTTTTTACCAGTATACACCACGATTGCTGCACCAATGGCACTCTGAATGCCGCTAGATCCTTGATGGAAGCGCACGAGAGCGTTTGGCCCCTCTGCGTGCCAGGATGGACCTCTTTCATCGCCACCAAGTGTTTCGTGGTGGTGACAAGGCTGCAAGGTAACGGCTCTCTCTTCTCCGTACTATCGAACAGACCCGACGCGCTCTGAACAAAGCTCTGCAGCCATTCGGAAGCCACGTATTCGTCCGGCGCAGCGAATTGGTACGACTTGTTGGGCTTCAGCAGTATCTCGAAGGTGTGCGGCCGATGAGAATTGGGAATCCTTCTGCAGCCTTGGCATAAGCCGCCTTTCAACGGTATAGCGCGCTTGGGAAGCCGCTGATTCGAATCCGTGAACATATAGACCACACCGCCCTTCAGCACGAAATAGCCGGCTTCCCAGGGATGCGTGGGCGCGTTCGGATGCAAGTGCTGGTAGGTGTGCGGCCGGAACATGAGATCGCCCTCCTTCGTTGGCCCACACGGCGTGCTAGGCGGCGAAATGTGTTCGTCTTCCATATAAATAAGACTGTAATGTTCTATTTTCTCGTCCTACCAAAGCAATGGAAGACATTAAAAGTAGATATTACAATAATGCACAGATAACATATGAATGCATGTAATTAGAGAAATGACAATGTGAAGAAAGGAATATTTCGAAAGGAAAAGTTTTCAAACATTTTCGCAAATTTTAAAGATGGTTTACGTACGGGATGCACAGCTGTATCGGTAAGAATTGAACTCCTCAGGATGTGCATATCTTCGTAATTCAGTTCTTTAACAGCAGGAAGCCTCGGTTTCGTCGGCGATCGTCTCATGGCCATCTCCAAGTGGCCGATTAATTCTGAGGTAGTTTGCGAGCTGCCAGTGGAAAATAGATATTGCATTTCGCAATCGGCGTTGGAAATTAAAATACTTTGTGCATTCGGGCCGATCTGTAGAAAGCAAACGTATATTAATTAGCAAAGTACACGCGGAGTGTGCGTCGAGGGAAGTGAGTATGATTATTTAAATACTCCTTACCATAATAACATCGAGTTCGTTATAAGGAATAACGAACTGATTACTATAAGAATGGTCCATTTTCGAACCGGTTAAATACAGCGTTTTGTCCGTCAACAACGCGATCATCGGCTTGCTCTCGCCGTTTGTCATGTACGAGCTTCGCACTTTATATACTTTGTATAGCTCCTCTGTTTTGTCGCGGTAGATATGTCTTTTAAAAAGCTCGCGCAGCTTTAGGCTCACTTTCTCGCCGCTGAACTCCTGCTTCTCGGCAGCCACGTTCTCTTGGATCTCCTTGTCGAGATTATCGTTGAAATCCTTGAAGGAATCGTAGCTCATCTTGATGCCTTTGATGTACAAGGTATTCGTCTTCGGCGGCTTCTTGTTCTTCTTGATCTCAAACTTTCTCTCGGTAATCGACTTTAGAAATCTGCTCAGTAACGACGTCTTCGACGGTGCCTGGCGCAAAGGCGGCGCCAAGAGCTTACTGCTACTCTCACCAGTCAATATCGCCGTCACGTTGCGCTTCTTTGACGGTGAGACCAAGTGTCGATTACCCTTGCGCTCATCCAAGTCGGACGTGGTGACGCTGTCCGCGTCCGACCAATCGTTCGAATTGGCATATTTCCTCGGATTCACCGACTGCGGCATCTCCAGCTTCGATGGTGGATCCTCGACAATGTTACCGTACGCCTTCTCGACGATGTAGGCTTCCTGGGCCTCGTTCTCTCCCAATTCTATCTCCATCTTAGGCCTCAGACTCTTGCCCGGGTCCTCCTGGCCCTCCGGCGCTCCGCGCTCCGATAACGATAAACTGCAGCTGCACCTGCAATTGCGCTGACACGGCATGTCGATACACAGTTTCGACAGATCCTTGTCAGCCCCGTCACCGTCGTACGCGCTCGACGACGACGACGAGAACGAGTAGCAGTCCGAGTGCACGTTCCTGCCAGCATTCGCGTCCTTCTGCGTGTACGGCGAGTCCCCGTGCGCGCACCAACTGTACCTGCCTTTCTGAGCGTCTCTCTTGAGAACGGAACTGGGCAGCAAGAAACTCATGGAGAAATCGGCAAAGTTCTCGTCGTCTTCCAGCTTCATCGTTTTCAGAATATCCTCGTGGAAGCTGACACGCTTCTTGCTTTCGCCCCGCTTCTTTTTACGCTGCCTACGTTGTACTATGGCCTCCGAGCTGGAGGAAGACAGAATGCTGGTGTCGGACATATTGATCGTGTTCAGAATGCCGTAAGGCGCGTCCATGTTGTCACAATCGGAGATGGTCATGCTCAGCTCTAACAGATTCGTGTCGTTATTTATCAGATAAGAATTACGAGAATCTAGGTTCTTCTTAAAACTATAAGCGGGACTGTCGCCGTAGTAGGTGCCTCTCTTACTGAAATCCTTCACGCCGTTATCAATCTTGTTCGTCTCGTCCAATTTTGTCTCGTCCAGACTCTTGCTGTAGAAATCGTAGTCCTTAAGAGTTTCCAAACTGGAGCAATTCATTTCATTGTCGTCCAGCTTCCGCGTTACATTCTGATTAACTATGTCGTTCTTCGTCATCATCGCGGTCTGAAATTTGGTAATCGCCGGTGACTGCGTCGGCGTTTTGCCGTCCTCGCTCGAGTCGCTCGATCCAAAATTCTTATTGTCCTCCATGCGATTGTTGATAATCGTCTTGTACCTGTTATTTCGGTATTTCGGGATATCGTCCATTGAATAGTCCTCCTGTTAAAATATTTGTATATTCCAGGGTGTTGTACGGCGAATAACGTGGAGAATCGTCCGCGCAATTTTGACTCGATCTACAACTCACCTCTTTGTAGCTGCTGCCGTCGGTTTCGTTTGCAACATCCATATCGCTATCGAACGCAACGCCGCTGTCGCCAGGGGAAGCTAGGCTCGACGAAACGCTAGAGGATCGTAGATGCAACGACAAGACTGTACCCGATGGATTTACGCTCATAGGCCTCTGCGGCAAGTAGTTGCAAATGTCCAAATATGTCACATCCTAGACAATTTTTACGTAACGCAGCATTAATTTTATCGTACGGTCTCGTATCTCGCGGCTATCGACTGCATATTAATCTAACAACCCGAGATAATTCCGTGCGGATATCTGCTTTTTTTCCTAGCAACGTGCTGGCAGAAATTTTCCATGAATAAGCAAGCCGAGCGATATGCAGTGCCGTACGAAATAAAGTGTGTGCACTCGCAAATAAAACGATAATCTCTTGCCCCCTCGCGAACTTTAAATACAACAATCTATCAGACCGCACGTATGCGACTCTTGTTATGTGATCGATGTTATTCATTAGCGCGATAAGTGTAACCAGGGGGTGATATTGGTATCTGCATAGGGATAAATAGAATAAAAATTACGCGACGAGGAGCGAACGGAGAAAGAGAGACAGAGAGAAAGAGAGAGAGAGAGAAAGTTGATTCAGTTCTGCATAAAATGCTCGCCAAGTGCTTCGTGGACTATTTATAAGTTGTTATTCATAACATCGATTCAACATACCAATTGCAATGTGAAGGACACGTTTTCCAGACCGGCGAGAAGATTAACCAATTGATTGGTTTTATCGGCATCTCTCACGAGTGCGTGCGGAAAGTACTGCTTCTTTAACGTCTTCGTGTCCCGCAGTAAACAGGCCAGATAGCTCTCAAAACTGCCCTCGCTCAGAGTGTGGTAGAGCCATGCTCGACCTGCGCAATATAAAATTCAATATTAACGAACAATAATGATAAGTAAATACGGCCGTTTTGTGTCACGAGCTCGGACAGTAATAGACACTGCCTTTAGTGAACAATCTTAGGCCGGATTGGACGTTGAAAACCTGCTATCTCGTATTAGAATCCTGTCTCACAATAGAGAACTTTCCTCTATACCGATTTCAATTGACAATTCAACGAAAGCTGATTCATAAACACGCTTGGAATAATCTGTAAATACGTTTACGCGTTTAGATGCGCTTTCACGAGTAAACAAATGTACGTACTCTCCCAAATAAGGATGTTCCAAGTCCCAAAATTTATCAGAGAAGTCAGCAAGGCACAAATTGCCGCTAATAATCTGTTCAATAACTACGATAAGATTAAGTCGCGCCGTTAAAGTGCATTTTAATCAGAGTGAATTGTAACAGCAAAAGCCAGGGGGAAACCGCTGACCAAAATCTTGTACACCAATGCCCACTAATGCCCATTACTTTGTCTTATTATCTTATTTTACCTTTGTAATGCCCCAGCAAGGCCTAACGCAAACCTGTACACCACAATGCCCTCAGTGGTTTCCCCCTCGAGAAAAAGGCGTGGATGGCGAGGCCATCGTTCAACGCATTGGCCGGCAAAGGACTCGTTACCTTTCCCTATAGAAGTTAGTACGCTCTGCAAGGCGTGTATGACCACGACGGTGTCCTGGTGACTGAGCTCCCTAGCTGTGCCCCAGTATCCGTGTCTCTCTACACGCAGCCCGTGGCGCAAGGCGCGATCCAGCCAGTAAACCAGCCAGGAGTCACCGTCCAGGACCACAGTGCCATAGAGACTCTGGGCGTAGACCTGCGCGAGACACGCGTACACATTAATGTCATATCGAGTACAGAATGAAACGTGCGGGACCCAGTGAGCGTCAACTGACGGTTACGTCACATCAATGTTATAATTTCCTACTTTACAATGTAACTGTTTTAACGTACGTGTGTTATGTGGCGCTAACGTTGAGTGGGAAATTATAGTATTGACGTTGCGTAACAGATAGTTTGTGTTTACTGGGGAACGTACGTGCGACGTACAACAAAGGGGCATTAAATCGAGACGCGCGGAGTGACGAGCACAGGTTGAGTCAACGAATCCTCAATGTTCTCCGTGCACACATGACATGTTTGCAGGCACGCGTGCGAAACTCCTCGTGACAACGGCGAGAGGTTATTAACACTCGGCGCCAAGTATCCGCTTTTACTTTCGAACGGGGTCGCCCGCTTTTGGCTGGCGACCCAGAAACCAATCCGCGGTGTCAATTTTAGATCTGTCCTTTTTCAGGTGCATACATACACCTGTGCGCCGAGAGGAAATAAAACGAGTGCGTGGCAGGATCGATAATCCCGCCGAGTGAAAAGGACAACCTGACAAAAGGGTCGCTCGGAAAGGAAACGGCGGTGGGACGGGGAAGGGGGGGGGGACCTTTGTCAGCTGTTCCGCGACGCACGGCTGTCAGCGGGACGCGACTGTTTGACACTCGCTCCTCGGGCGACGACGCGGAGCGGAGCCTCGTCGAAGCTCGCCAGCGGTGCACGCTACGATGCATCGACGATGACGCGACGTCGGGGATTTCGTGCTCGCGACGAACGAGCGCTCGGCCCGCCTTTGTGCGTGCGCGAGCGCGCTCGATTCGGAGCCGCGTCGCGATATTATCCCGCGGGCAGGTCGCGCGATGTCGCAACGCGTATACACATATACGTATGTACCGTCCCTCTTTCTCTCCCGCCCCCCGCCGGGGCTTCTGCCCTAGTAGCACAGTGCATTGAACAAACATTGGTTAAACATTGGCCCAGTGAGAAATGATTCGTCGATCGACGTCGAATCGACATCGACACCGTCAAATTGGCGTCGATTCGACGTCGTTTCGACGCACTGTGCCACTAGGGTGGCGGTCCCGACGGATTTTCCGAGCTTTCCTTGGACCCCCGTTCTCGCCGCGCTTCCTAAAGCGAATGCGGTCACCGCGAGCCATTCGTTCCATCGCGGTTCTTCGAAATTCTATCCCGAAACGTTTCCCCGGGAGAGAATCAGTCCCAGTCTACAATAGAGATTTAAACCTTAAGCCTTAAAAAAATTGACTAATCACAGTCGCGTGTTCTACTCGTGCTTGACCGTGATTGGCCAATTTCTTAGAGCTTAGTCCCAGCCTACAATAGAGATTTAAACCTTAAGCCTTTAAAAAATTGACTAATCACAGTCGCGTATTCTACTCGTGCTCGACCGTGATTGGTCAATTTCTTAAAGCTTAGGGCTTCCTATACTGTAGACTGGGACTTAGTCCCA